TGAGATCTGACACCTTTACTCTTTTGACTTGCCCTTTGCAGCCTTTTCCTTCTTCCTTTGCTGGTCTCGTTCTTTCTTCGCCCTCTTCCTGGCTTCCTTGTCTATGGCGCCATCCGCGGGCTCCTGCTCCTCCACCTGCGCATTCGTCCGCTTCTTGTCTTTGCCCTTGGTAGACTGTACCTGAGGCTCTTCACCACCCTCCTGCACAACATTCGTCCTGTCGCCAATCTCTCCAATTTCAATATCTCCCTGCTCGGCCTGGTACTCAGCCAGGTCCTGCCATTCTCCCTCGGCGACCGCTGCAAACTGGCTGGACTTCTTGAGGCCGCCCTTGCGACCAGTAGTGACAGTGACGTCCGTGGTTGCGTTTCGTTGGTCGTCTTCCTCGTCTAGCGCTCGTTCTGGTTCTTGGTACTCGCCGCGCATACCCGCTGCTACACGGCGCAAGTGGTGCATGATTGGGTTGCCCATAGCGCCGCCTTGCGCATTGAATGCGACGCCTTCTGGTGTGATAGTCGCATCGGGATGGAGATGTGGGTACGTTTCCGAGTTCGAGAGGTACTTTTCGAGGATGGCCGACGCAGCGTCGAGAGAGATGGGCGCGCTGGAGATGTGGCGGCGGGGAGGAGGTGCTTCGAGCATCATTTTGGCAGTGTTTGGGCGCGAAATAGAGGGTTGGGTGGGTAGTTGCTATCGTGGAAGTGGTGGAGTTGTTGGTTAGGATTTTGGGACGACGGTCAACTTTTTGCGCACGGACGACAAGGAAAGTGTTAGCTCTGCGGACTTCGCGACGGGCATGCCAGACTGCACGCTCGCATCGACAAATCGGGACCACGCCGCCACGAAGACGATACAACGGGCGAAGAAGACGCAATTGCGGTCGACATACACATCATGAACGCCTTCCGGTGCCTACGGGTCGTCGCGCGCCCTTCAACCAGCGCATCCACACTCCTCCGACCACGCATAGCACCACCACACTCGTACCTACCCTCCCTCCGAGCCCCTTCTCCACCCCTCTAACCCATCCTCCAGACTATCCACACCCTCGTCCACCCGCCAAATATCCCTCCTCACCCCCCGACGCCCCATGCTGCCCCGCACAAACGCCCTCCCGCCCGCGGGCACCACCTCTCTGGTCCCCTCAAGCTCCGAGACGCTGGACCTCGCCTCCAAAATCTCGTCACATCCTGGTCTGGGCAGCATGCAGATTCGGTGCGGTCCGCGTGATACGTACAACCCGAGCCATCTGGTGCGCAAGAGGAGACATGGGTTTTTGAGCAGGATTAGGACGAAGAAGGGGCGGAAGATGATTATGCGGAGGTTGAAGAAGGGGAGGTGGAATATCAGTCATTAGAGGAGAGATAGTGTTTGTCTGTCAAACGGGCGAATATGGGTTGGACTCGAGGGTCTCTGGCTCGGAGATGGGAACAGACAAGGGCGCTTGTGTATATTGAATGTACAGTATGCGTGACGTGCATTTAAAGACATGTACTATATGAGAGAGGGAAACGTGTATGTGGTGGAGTAGTAAATACCTACACGGAGTCTCTATTTGACTGGTGTTCCTGCTGCTCCAGTCTCTTTGGGTATGACCGCATCGACCAGCCCACAAACGTAGGTCCTGTAGCCATTTCCTGGAAACCCTCTCTAGTAGAGACGAAACCCGCATTGCGTTTAGATTCTCCCCATATTGTTGATGGCGTTAGGAAGTGGACTAGAGATCCATCCTAGTGGATACCGCGTTGGAAGGTGTTGTCGGTTCCAGAGACGATGTCTAGAGAGCTGCATGGGACTCTCCTGGTAACCCCGAATGCTTCTTCCATACTGGCGCTGATAGGGGGTACATAAGCCGACGTCCAATCGACAATCATATGGAGAGCTCTGTGGTATCCAATGACCATAATGGCCATCGCATCACTTTGGCGTCGAAGGCTTTTCCTCTCCAGCCTTGCCCTCCTCTTCCGCCGCCTGCGTGCCGTCCTCCAACGCTTCCACAAGCTTAAGCTCCTCATCGATCTTATCGATTTGCTTCAAAATGAACGCAATCGTAGCATCCCTTGCTTTGTCCACCCTCGTCAGCGCATCCATAGTCATCTTCCCATAATCCTGCATCTTCTGCGGCGTCGGTGGCGCAGGCTCCTCATCCTGCAACTGCGCCTTTTTCTGACTCAACAACTTCCTCAGCGCAAAGATGTTGTAATCCCTTTCCTGTAGGTTCTTAACCAGCTCTTCCCGCTTAGCTTCTTCATCGACTCTTTGCTTCTTGGTAGCCTGCTCTTTCTTGATCTCCGTATCAGCGACTTTCCACTTCCAAATCGCTTCCTTGGCGCTGTTTTCAATATGCGTGAAACGTATGGGACCGATATTTTGCCCGCCGTACCAGCGCGCAACTACTACAACGCCCTCGGTCTGCGTGTCTCGTAGTACATTGCTGAGTCGTCCTCCGGCCCACTTTTCGCCGTCATCATCGTGGCCAAGATCATACAAAGTGCGGGATTCTGGCATCAAAGACTTTTGCCGTGATGGTTTCCTCCATGCTGCGATTTTGTGGGTGGCAGTCCGGAATTCGGGGAGTGTTTGCAAGGCTTTGGCGGATAGGTTAGGAGAGAACGCGGCTTTGAACGTTGATGTCTGCTCTTGTATTGCCGACGAGAGATATATTTCTGTTACGGGTTTTGGAGATGGTGAGCGCTCCCTTTTCATGGCCATCTCTTTTCATGCGCTTGTTGCACTGGATGTTGTGTGGTCCAAGTTGGAGAAGGGACGGGAGGTTGGTAACGTGCAGGGAAGGCGCATGCGGAAGCGCGACTTTAGCGCGGATGCCAAAGGATGTCGCGAAGCTTGTCAGCGCTGCTTCCACGAAACATCATCTTCGAAAATCAAGATTCCATCGATTTTGCGTCCACTAGCAGTTGTCTTATAGATTTAATTGTTCTGATCACCACGGCTGAATCTCGTCATTTGTTTACAACGTTTTCTTCCAAGATCATGAACAATTCCTGCGTCGTTTGTGCACGTACTTTTCTTGAAAGATACGATGCGCATCCCTCCTGTCCAGACAAGAAGTTTTATCAAGCAAACACATGAAATTTGTTTCTGAGGACGTATCGGTATTACCCAGGCGATCAAGCAAGAACTTCCGATACGGTCAAGGCTGTCATTTCTCTCACTACGTTTCTTGAACCAATTGTTGCTCGGGTATATAACTCATCACCACCGTTCTCTTCGTATATATTGCTTTGCTCTCTCTTATATTTACATGATCACTTTTCAAAAAAGCAGCAACTTGGCTGTCTACCTTCCTTACCGACAGCACCGAGGGAACCCGGTGGTGTCTCAAATCTTTCACTTCTCAGTTCTACGAACACGTCACAGCAGGCGCACGAGACCACATCTCGGGATATATACCCCACTTACTTGTCATTGGACGACCTTGCTAAGACGCAAGATTCGCAGCAGGCAACGGGCCGTTACTGCTAGCGCATGCAATCATATATAGGTAGCGATATCTGATTTCCAACACTGATCCTCTACCACCTACTCGCCGCTACAACTTCAGTAGTATTTGGCGCGATCAAAGCGATTCTTCGCGCCGACTCAAGGTAAGTTCGTGCGATTTGTTCGGCGCAGACACCTCGTCCTTCAGTGCGACGCGACTTTGATCTGCTGAGGCGATCCTCTTGCTCCAGCCTTCCAATCTAGACTTGACGCAAAACCTCTTGCTAATATCTACGGCTCAGATAACTGCCTCAACGCTCCGGCAGCAGTTTGTTCATCAAGCTCAAGCTCTTCAAGTCCACTGTCCATACGGACCAGCTATCACCATGGGCCGATTCGAAACCCTCAACGATGACACCAAGGACCTGGTGAATTGTCTTCTGCCCGCCCTGGCAGCTTCCTTTGGTCTCGCCGACAGCCTGGACATCATCCCCGAGGACATTCGTATGCGCGCCTGGGATTGCGAGCGCCGCGACCATATCAAGGACGAGACCGAGAATGACCCTCGCAACTGGGGTGTACAGTTCCTCAAAGATCTGATGTCTATTTCTCGTCTCACGAATGGAGACCTAGCTCGGTTCCAAGCTGATCTGCGTGCCAAGGTCGCTCTTCATGAGCCCAAGCATCCCTGGGCTCGTCTGGCCGATATCAGAGACATCAAGGATGAGTACGAGCACCCAGAGCGCAAAAACCAGGTCGTCATCCCGGAGTCCTCTGAAGAATCTTCCGATGACTCCTACTTTGAAGAGCTTGTCGAGCCAGATCAACCCAAGGGCGCTAAGAGGCGTCGTGGTAACCACGAGATCTACGAAGCACGCGTTCTAGAGAAGCGCCGCAAACGTAAGTCAACCCCTCTATCATACCTAAAAGTCGTTCAACAGATACATCAGCGACGACTTTGAAACTTCGAACGTCGAATCATGTTATTGACATTGAGTAGGTGCTCCTAATCGTCTCCGCCGTGCCGAGGATGGTGGCTTCGAGCGTCACGACAAGCGGGCCAAGAAGCGTGAGCGCTCTGTTCGCACCAGCACCACTCCCAGTGGTCGCGGAATCGCTACTCGCCGCGCTAGAACCATCGTGACCGAAGACGACGAAGACTATACCAGCTCTCCCGGTACCCAGTCCCTCCTTACCCATCGGACTCCCGCCTTCTCCGTCTCCCCAGGTCCTCAAGATGCGCGCATGTACCCTGTCGAGACTGTGGACACCGTGGATACATCTGGTCAGCCTCTTGCTGTCCAAAAGATGCAGGCTGAGTTGGAAGTTGCTGAGGCAGAGCTCAAGGCCGCTCGTGTAAGGTGGCAGTATCTCCAGGCCAAGGAGCAGGCTGAGCAGGAAGCTATGTATGGTGGGAACGGTACTCCGGAGATGCCTCACAGGTTCGATTAAGTAGTTCTGGTTGATGTGATTGGAGGATTTCATGCATATTTGCGGTGGCTTCGGCGGCCTTTCTATAGTACAATACATACGTGAATGGTGGAAGCCAACTTCAGAATTTAAGACTGTTCCGTCTTCTTCTCCCTGACCAGACGTTCTTCTTTCATGGCCAATCGCATTCGGAGTGACCTATCTGTACTATTGCCCGTACCGGGCGGCGCTCGTGGGAGGGGGCCGAAGTCGATGTCGCCGGCAGAAGTTCGCGCCGCAACATGTCCCTGGAGTGTCTTTATAACCTCCTTCTTTTCCTGCTGAAGCGCAAATCGCTCATTTCGCGGTTTCGGCTCTGATTCGTAAGTGTCGAGGTGAAAGAAATCTTCAGCGCGCATTCGCTTCCGCTCCCAAAGCTTCTTCTCCGCCTTCTTCCCAGAGGCAATCTCCTGCCTCCACTGATTAGCCTCATGCCAATCGGTATACTACATTTATGTTAGATATTATCGCTTTCACTCATGATTGTAGACATACTGCCTCCATCCACTCATCTGCTCCCTTCGCCTTGCTCATTGCCATATCGGCCAGCAGGATACTACGTAGAGCCTGCTGGATGGGTGTTGCGGTGCGCTGAGCCATGTTGAGGAATACGTAGGCTTTTGTGTTGTGTTTCGATAGGGGTATTGTTATGTTGTAGGCTCCAGAGGTGTCTGTTGTGTGGTGGTTGTAGGGTGGGTGTCGCGTTGTAGGCCGCAAAGATAGTCAAGGCAACGACCATATGAGCCCGCATAAACCGTTTGCCGCATACAGCAGTGACGGTGAGAGCGCAAATTCTTCATCTCTGGGCTCGCGGTGACGCGTCTTTCCTGTGTAACCTCGCAGTGAAAGTGAAGGTGAGAGCGGATTGAGCTCTCGAGCTCACGTTTGTTTGTTTACTCCACCAAAATCTCTATCTGCCTGCCCCACTTCTATATCCGCTTTATATGTGTATATATATTGGTTAATTCTACAATACTCCATCAAACCATTCTACCTCAAAACCGGGATGGCGGCTGGAACCAAAAGAGGACACTGTCCAAGCAAAAAAGATATACAACATAGCCAGTCGTGATAAATCCGCCACAAGAAGCAATAACAGGGTTTCAAGATGTTTCCAAAGTATAACGGAGGTGGTCATCTCTTTTTGCCCTAGGGTCGAACCTGCGTTGTGACGACTCTGCGCTCTTTTTTTTTTGCCCGCTTTTTTGCCCGCGGTAAGTGGCGGGAACATGGGTATCTTTGCTGCATACATAGATTCATTCCTCGTAGTTGTGAACGTTAACAAAGTAATGTAGCAGGCAAAGAGGTCTTACCAGCAGCTGTTCAAATCCCTGTCGTGCATAGAGTACCTCCAGCCCTTCCCATGGTTATCACCCTTAGCAAACCTACACAGTAGTAGAAGAATACACAGGCAGCGCAGTCCTTTGTTTTGGCAATGCTGTTAGACACATGTACTGCATCATATGTAGGTCGGCCTTCACACCTTTGCATGCCAGGATATGTAAGCTGACATGCAGTCGACCCCACAATTGTTCCGTCCGACTCAGGTACGCATTTCTAGACTATGCAATGTCATTCCTAGACCTTTCGGCGCGCCTTCTACGCCACTCGCACCTGCCTGTTTCGCCGTTCGATCAAACCCAGTCTGCAGGTGGACCAATTAGGAACTACGCTCCGCTAGCGCGTCTCCGCAGTCCTTCCCCAGATCGCCTGATCATCCCGACACCGAGGCTCTACAAAAACATTATGCACACAGCAAGACCCATTATGAACATGGAACAGCCATCCCAGAAACGAGTATCGAAAGCATGCGACGCGTGCAAGAGGAGGAAAGTGCGTTGTAACGGCCAAGCACGGTGTCAACAGTGCGCGCATCTCGGCTTGCGGTGCATCTACTCTCCCTCCGGCAAGCAAAGGTCTCAGGGCAAGCGAGGCCATATCATCTCCGAGTTCAGAAGCCAAACGTCCAATTTGCCTGCAATATCGCCGCCCATACTGCCTGCTCATTCAGCAGCAGCTAGCTTTCAGACACCGTACAGTCCCATCTCGCCGATACTTGACCGTAATGGAGGCACACCAAGTATGTCACCCTGGCAATGTCTACTCAAATTTGGGGTGCTACTGCTGACTCCGGGCAGCATCTCCTTCGTCATCTTTCACATCACAGTACCCCAAGGCTTTCTTTCTCGACCTCATCCCGGATTACGTTGCTGGGGTGTATCCTGTTCATCCGGTCATTGCCGAACATGAGCTCCGACAGTACATCGAGGTCATGGACAGCGATCCAGACGTCCGCTCATTCATCTACGCGTTCGGAGGCTGCACGCTGAACTTGACCCGGTATGGTGACCGCCGAACAGAAGAAATCGTCCAAACCATCGAAAGCCTCATGGACTACTCGATCGATACCATGAGGCGAACCCACAAGCATTGCCATTTCTCGGTCATGCGAGCCGTGCAGTCAATGTTCATACACAACTGCCTCATGAGTCTGCAAGGTAGCGACAGCGCATTCTACTACATGCGAGACGCCATTACGATCATCCAGCTGCTGCAGATCGACAAGCCGGAGAACGTGGCCCAGCTGTCTCCTCCCGAACGATCCCGAAGACAGCGGCTCTACTGGCAAGCGTACATACACGAGCGATTCATAGCTATCCTGGATTACCGGCGTGCCATTCTCCCTCCACTCTACACATTGCCAGAAGACGACCCTACACTTCCGATACAGGTCCACGAGGGCTTCAATCAGATCATCAAGCTTTTCCGCATGCTTGATACGGAGTTCCTTGATAGCTGGCTTGACACGCAAGGAGGCAGCGTCACCAGCACGTGGGTCGAGGCCAAGTCGCGCGAGCTTGAAGGTGACCCTGAGGCTGATGCACGGGAGTTGGCCATGTTGTCCATGATGCAACGAGCCGATCTGTGCATCACGCGTGAATGGCTGCGCACTCTGGTCTGGCGCTTAGCTATGAGCCAAACCCTCTTGTCTTCTCGATCTTCGAAAGATTGCCTGTCGCTCTTATTCCCGGTAAGGCTGTCACAGACATTACGGCAACAATTATCCAGTATGTCGCGCCACGACATCGAAGTACACGGAAGCAGCATCACTCAGAAACTTTTTGAGATCACAGACACGATTGCCGATGTTCTTATTCACGTTCCCGCCGCGACTATCGATGAAACGGCACTGAGGATTGACGATTTCCTCTTCATCCTAGACTTTGTCCTGCTGATTCCACACCTTGATCAGACGCGTCGAAGCATACTGCTCGAGAAGCTAGAGCGCCTCCAAACAATGTTCCCTGAGGCACTCAGCAATGCCAGTTCGCCGAACCTACCACACGATGTGAATAGTCCTGGTGGGGTGAACGACCCTTGGTATCAAGTCACGCAATCAAAGACAGCTGCAGGGCTAGAGGATATGGCGGACGGATTGGTGCAGGTTCAAGCCCAAGAAATTCCAAGATCAGAGGCGAGAACTGGACATTTGGCCACATGGAACAATATTTCACAACGCTTGTCCATGCAGGTCGCTCATGTAGCTCAGTAAAATCTAGCTTCAAGCAATGATTTTGTTCATGCGACACTATCTACGCAAGTAAATAGATCCTGCCTTCAAAAGCAGCCAGTTTCTTCTCCTCACAGTTATCCACGCTGCTTACAAGCAGTTCCATCTTCTCGCTCTTCACACTTTCTGGGAAGGCCAGATCCTTCTTCTGGTCCGTGAAGTTGCAAATGCACACAGCCCTCTTCTCATTCCATGTCTTGCTGAAGACAAAGAAGTCTGGGCTCTCCACATCTAGATCGTCGTACTGGCCATGCACAAGGAGATCGTTGTGTTGCTTGCGTACTTGCAGCATGCGCTTCCAGAAAGCGAGCACGGAATCTTTATCGCCTTTTTGTTGCGCAACATTGCAGACCTTTGCGTCCTCAAGAGGTCGCATCCACGGTTCCGCGGTAGCGTCAGGCGGCGAGAAGCCGTTGTGCGTTGCGGTCGACCAGCTCATCGGCACACGAGCATGGTCTCTAGCGAGATGCTGAAGCGACTTATGCGCATCTTCAAGAGCCTTGGGGTCGTCTTTTGTCCGCGCAGCTACCATCTTGTAGTAGTTTGTCGAGTCCACGTCCTTGTACTCGCTCATATCCCAGGTCAGAGGGAAGTTCGTCATGCCAATTTCTTGGCCCTGGTAGATGAACAATGTGCCGCTGAGTGCTGCCATCATCAACGCGAGCATCTTACCGCCTGCGACGCGGTGCTCGGGCGCATCGGAAGTAAAGCGTGTGATTGATCGACTTTGGTCGTGGTTCTCGAGGAAGACAGTAGTCCAGCCATCTGAGGGGGCGCGAATGAGGTCTTGCGTGCGGGCCATGGCACGTTTGAACTGTGGGAGTGTCCAGTTCTTCGGTGTAGTTTGGAATTTGTAGGGGCCTTGGCCAACGTCGACGACATCCTGTGCTTTTAGTTAGTACTACCGATCTCTTGTTTTTGCGCTTTTTCGGGCTTGCTCACGAATTGGAAGACCATGTTCAGTTGCTTCTCTTTAGCACTAACATATTCCAACACTCTCTTCATGTCTGGTGTGTGGGGGCACTCGCCGACGGTCATAGCATCGTACTTCTCCAAGATTTGGTTCATCTCGTTCAGGAATTCGGCCATCCTTGGGCCGTTGCAGTACTGGTATCCAGCAAACTGCCATTCCGAACCAGGATCGGTGATCGGTGCGTCAAGCATTTCACCTTTGCTGTACATGTTGACGGTATCAACGCGGAATCCATCAACTCCGCGCTGTAGCCAAAACTCCATGGCGGATTTGTAGATGGCTTGTCGCGTTTCGGGGTTTTCCCAGTTGAGGTCAGGTTGCTCGGGGCAAAAGAGATGTAGATAGTATTCTTGGGTATGCTCATCCCACTCCCACACACTACCTGTAAAGTTGCCGACCCAGTTGTTGGGAGCTTTGCGCTCGCCGTCAACATAACGAGCTGGTCTCCAGATGTACCAGTCTCTCTTGGGGTTGTCTTTCGATGATCGTGATTCTAAGAACCATTTGTGCTTGGAGAAGTCAGTTTTGCAGGGTTGTGCCGAGCTGCACCTTCAAGACTTACCTGGTCAGATGTATGGTTGACTACCAGATCCAGTATAATCTTCATGCCTCGCGAATGTGTCTCGGCGATCAGCTTCTCCATGTCTTGGACAGTACCATACGGCCTGTACACATCCTCATAGTCACGGATGTCGTACCCCACTGTTGGAGTAGAAGGTCAATATATATACCACGTGCAATTTGTATAGAGGTAATGCTTACTGTCTACTTGGGGTGAATCGTACATGGGACAGACCCAGATGACGTCAACACCAATGGAGCGGATGTAGTCCAGCTCTGAAATGATGCCATTGAGGTCACCAATGCCGTCGCCGTTGGAGTCTTTGAAAGAAGCGGGGTAGATCTGGTATACAACACCATCTTTCCACCAGGGTCTTTGAGGAACGGTCATTGTGTTGCTGCTGGATCCCCGTGCTCTTTGGGGTAATTTTGATTACCTAGGTATGGTGGGTAGAGATGGTACGCAGCGTCAATGAGGGCAAGCGTTTCTTTGGTGGCTTGCAATGGCACCAGTGGCTTTCTTATAAGCGTCTTGCAATGGGATCTTATCAGATGGAGAGTAGTCGTTGAGATCTGGTCACTGTGTTTGGACCGCATGTGGAGATTCCCCCCACCGGAAAGTTTCTCGGTACAATGACGATTGGCTCAAAGCCGGATCGTGTCTACACATGGCGATCCCCACACAACCCAGCAACAGTCTTCCCCACAGATGTCTTCCATCGCATGGTGTTTCAACGTTCTTTCCCGCGTGTCCGATATTGCGGGATTTAAGCGAGGATGTATGCGGGGAGATGGTGGGCGCGACAGGCTATCGATTCATGCTCTCGGTCCGAGATAAAAGGCAAACCGCGTTAGTGGGAACGCTCAGTCGCATTTCCGTGCCACACGTGATGGTCGCTTCGGCTTTCGGGGCTCGTGCACGCAACCTTGACATCTCGGTCCGGCATCTTGTCGAATCACGACCTTCACTCCTGCTCCGAGTTTTCGATGGCACACCCGTGTCGGCGGGCCTCACCAGCTACAGCCTAGCCTTTCAAGCCATAGTGCTGCGCGATGAAGATGGCCTCACAGCTGCAAGAGTGGCGTCCTCCCCGCATCCCTTGACTGCCTCCACCATCCCCAGTTTCTGACTTGGCACGAGCTCTGTCTATGCATGGGTATCGCGTGTCTGGGGTCGTGAAGTTGTATAAGTAGAACGGCGGTATCCACCACGAGAGATCACCATCCAGCTTCGAGTCCCACTAGCTCCACGTTTAGGAGAGGTCTGGGTCTGACCCACAGCATCCTACTTCATCCTTTGGACATACCCACACTTGTCAAGCCACCTGGACATCGTCTCATCCTCGGACACGACCATCATGTCTCGCCGCAACAGCAGTGTCGTCGCTATCGACGCCGAACAGGCACGCCGCCTTTCACTCGCCGTCACGGACATCAAACAAGTCGCCCACGATGCCGGCAACGCGACTCGATCAGAGCAGCAGATGACCCTACGCCAGGGTATCAAGTTATACCCAAAGGCCATCGCCTGGTCCGTCCTGCTCTCCGCAGCCATCATCATGGAAGGCTTCGACAAGGTCTTGATCGCCAACCTGATGGCGGTTCCTGCCTTTAAGCAAAAGTTTGGCGAACAACTTGCAGATGGCACCTTCGAACTCACCGCTGCGTGGCAAGCGGGTCTCACAAACGGTGCATACGTTGGAGAGTTCACAGGTCTGCTCCTGAACGGTCTCATCGCGGATCGTTTCGGCTACAAGAAGACAATGATCGGCGCGCTCTTCGCTGTGAATTTCTTCATCTTCATCGTCTTCTTCGCGCAGAACATCACCATGCTTCTATGCGGTCTCATCCTGTGCGGTATCCCATGGGGTGTATTCCAGACCCTGACTTGCACCTATGCCGCCGAAGTCGTACCGGTGCCACTTCGACCAATTCTTACAACATACGTCAACCTCTGCTGGGTCATCGGTCAATTCCTCGCCTCTGGCGTTTTGAAGGGTGTAGCCGAGCGCCCCGACCAATGGGCATACCGCATCCCATACGCCCTGCAGTGGCTCTGGCCTCTCCCGTTGATGATCGGCATCTCGTTCGCACCTGAATCTCCCTGGTGGCTTGTACGGAAAGACCGATGCGAAGAAGCAAAGAAGATGTTGATGCGCCTCACATCACCCGAAAAGCTGCCCGACTTCAATGCCGATGAGACCATTGCTATGATGCGCCACACCAACGCCATGGAGATGGCGGTCTCTGAAGGTACTTCGTACTTGGACTGTTTCAAGGGTACAGATCTCCGCCGAACTGAAATCGCCGCCATGGCATGGTTTACGCAGGCCTTCTGTGGAGCAGGTCTTATCGGTTATTCGACATACTTTTTCCAGCAAGCAGGCCTTAGCGACGCGGATGCGTTCTCCATGAGTCTAGGACAATACGCAATTGGTGGCGTGGGTGTCTTCATGGCCTGGATCCTCATTCAACGTGTAGGACGTCGCACATTGTACGTGTATGGCGATCTCGTCATGGTTATGTTGTTGTGTATCATCGGAGGTCTCGGTTTCATTCCAGCCGGCAACGTTGGCGCGCAGTGGGGTATCGGCGCCATGCTCCTACTTTTTGCAGCCGCATACAACTGCACGGTCGGACCTGTCTGTTACTCCATCGTCGCAGAGATTCCATCCACTCGTCTTCGCCAAAAGACTGTCGTCTTGGCCAGGAACTTCTACAACATCGGTTCTATCATCGGCAATGTTATTACTCCACGTATGCTCAACCCCGGTGCTTGGAATTGGGGCGCAAAGAGTGGTCTGTTCTACGCCGGAACGTGCTTTTGCTGCTTTATCTGGGCGTTCTTCCGTCTTCCTGAGCCAAAGGGCAGGACTTACGGAGAGCTCGATATCCTCTTCGAGAAGCGTGTCCCGGCTAGGAAGTTTAGCAGCACGGTCGTTGACAGCTTCCATTCCAGTGATACCGAGAGCGATTATACCGAGAAAAAGGGTGTCTCGGCCCATCTTGAGCAGGTCAACTCTAGGGATGCTATTTGAGCTGTGAGATCCGCCACGGAGGCTTTATGATTTGTAAATATTATGTGTGACGAATTATCGACTTGTCGTAAATAGAGGATGCATCTTTCATCGTAATAGAATATGTTTCTGCAGATGCTAGTGTGCTGTGATCTTACGCGGCCTCAAGCTTTGGTGCGGCAGCAAGCGACGTGCGATTGTTGAGTCTACTGTGAAATTAAAGCAAGGGGGGCTCGCCACAATTGCCCATTTGCGGTCCGGCCTAGTCACGATTCAATAGTGGGGTACATAGGCCCGGGAGCGGTCCTTGCATTCCTTGCTGCTCGCTTACTTTCCCCAAACACAAACGTGGCGTTCCCTTCTTCCCATCATCGATGTAGGTGAGAACTTAGCAGTGCGGGTCCGGACTGCGTCGTATCACCACCGGGCAATTAGTCATCATTTCTCGAAATGCCCAATGTTGGCAGACCTTCTCCAGGTTGCAAGACATGTAGGGACCGCAGGATCAAAGTATGTAATGCACGCGTGAGTAGATATTTGGCCCACTAATCCGCTGTTCCAGTGTGACCAGAAGCGGCCTTCCTGCTCGCAATGTCTCCGTGCCGGCAAAGAATGCCATGGATACCGCGACGTGGCTTCCCTAATGTTCAAGAATGAGAGTCGCGTCGTGGCAAAGAAGGCGGAGCAACGTTACGAAGAGCTTGCCAAATCAAAAGAACCAAGAACGCCTTTGGGACGTGGAGAACCCAACAGGATCAGAAGCGTGCAGCGGATCTATCCGGTGCAGAGTCCGCCCAAGGCTGAGATCATGGCCTTGCAACCCACGCCGAATATCGACGCCCAAGCGCAAGGCTTCTTCCTCACCAACTATGCAGGCGCCGCCGATTTCCCTCAAGGAGGCCAATTCGAATGGATTCCCCAGCTGCTGTCACGGCCGAATATCGAGGGTACGCTTCGTGAGAGCTTCCGCGCCCTAAGTCTAGCAATCTTCGCCAATGCAGCGAAGTCCCCTGCCGTCATGCGAAAAGCGCGTGTCGCATACGGTTCTGCATTAGAGGAAACAAACAGAGCGCTCATGTCGCACGAAGCCGCGGTCAAAGATAGCACTTTGGTTTCGGTCATCCTACTTGGCATGTACGAGGGCACGGTATACACGGATAAGAGCTCCATCGATAGGTGGTCAAAACACGTCAGCGGTGCTTACACCCTCTTCATGCTACGCGGCAAGTCGCAGTTCGAGACAGAACTCGGACGGCGAATATTCCAGCAGTCATACGGCGTCGCTCTATTCTTCACGCTTGAACTAGGGACGGGTATTCCAAGTTAGTCACAACCCTGTGCGGACTGCATGTAATACACGAACTGACATCGCACACCAATATCTAGAACATTTGCAAGAGCTGTACGACAGCATCCCCCTGGAATCGGGATTCAACGAGCTTGTAAAGAAATTCATGATCGGCATTCTGCACGTCATGGACGAAGTCGTCAAACTCGGTCAAGACAAGAGCCGAGATCCCGTGGAAACAATCAACCGCGCGAGAAATCTCAGTCAAGAGTTAGAGGATATCAAAGCTCTTTTACCTGCAGCCTGGCATCCAACAAGGGTTCATCTTGATGTACCTTCAGTTCATTACTGTGGAAACACATACAGCATCTGCCTCTTTCCCGTCATGGCGCAGTTGTGGAATTACACCCGGTTTATTGGAATTCAAGTGCACGATATCATCAGAGCAAACCTGATGATGGTTCGTGAGGAACAAACTTCCCCGCTCTACGACGCTGCCAGTTTGAAAGCGTGCATACAACATGAGGAGAATGTGCTACGAGCTAACGTCGCCGCAATCGTTGCCGCAGTACCTCAGACGATCGGCATGGTGCCATCCCCGGTGTTCTCTGCTGCTGGATTGGCCCCCGAAGATGAAACAAAAGATGGACCTATCATGAGAGAACCGGGGACCTTTATCGATTCAGTCATCTCACCGAGACTAATGCAGCTCGTCCAGCCACTGTATGCAGTGGGTACGTGTCTGCTTATTTCGCATCAAATGCGGCAATGGGTCATTGGCATTCTCCATTTTGTTGCATTGAGGATTGGATCAAGACAGGCAGTCGTGCTAGCAGCTGAGCTGCAAAGGCTTCAAGAGTCAGCACCGAGTGTAGCACACGGCTGGCAAGACATAGCCGAATGGCTCGCGCTGGGTCCTGGGGTAATATAGCTGTAAACGCAGAACACAGCCCAGCAATGATCTCAACACCACAGATCGCGACTTGCAATGATGAGCAGGCAAGCGGAACAAAATATGATCTCGCATCGAACAACTCTTTTGCGCTCATGCGCTCGTAATGAGACTTGTAGTAGGACTTCTTCTTCTTCAAGGCCTACAAGTCTTTCTTGTCATTCCTTGAGGCTTCGCCAAATCCCACCCCTGCCATGAATGCTAGTCTGACCAGCCCTGCAAACGCCGTAATGCCTATACTTCCCCAATCCTCCGCCCGCCAGGTGCCTACGCTTAGTCTGCCCTGCTTTGCCAACACCTCCCAGACTGCCCAATAGTACGCCAGATCGACAACGAAGCACGACAACTGGACAATACGCCAGACGTTCATGTCGTTTGTGTATCGTAGCAGGACAGCAGATATGATGCCGAAATTTAGCATGCCCCCGCCACGTTGCTTGAGGATCATGGCGTGGCCGATGTCTGGGGTGGGTGAGGGGATGTGTGAAGAGAGGACGACAGTGGGCATGAAGAAGTCCATGGTTGCGCCCCAAGCGCAGATGATGGGGTCGAGGTATGTAAAGAATATGCGATAGAATGCAGGTATGGAGGGTGCCGTGGGCTGAGACATGATTGCCGCTCGGTTGCAATGAATAGCTCTAATTCGATGAAGAGATGCGGACAGTGTATCGAGTAACGATAATCTGCGTGATGGTGTGGATGGTATGTGTGATGCGTGTCCTCGGTGCTTGAGCAGATGTCAGCTTTGGACCCCGCGCCAGTGGGTCTAGCTGCTTCTGTGCTGCATTGATGGCACAGAAGACTAGGTCGCTTGCGACTAGACTCGTATACCAACAAACCCGTGCTGCAGGCCTGCTGCACCTTGAATCCTTCAGCTTCGATCTTCTGTTGCGGAGACGCGTGAGGTCGACTACCACAGTATCGCAGCCTGTTGTCCGTGCCTGCCTGCTACCTAGATGTTCTCCATCACACGGAGATGGCCCCATCTGCACAACACATCGCGTTAATTTGGGCGAGGCAGCAACAATCGATGCTTCTAACAACTGCTGATCGGAGTCGGTCCCGTGTGGTGGATCCCCAGGCTGCTAGCGCGGATCCCGAGTGTTGTGCCTGGGATCCACGCCGTCACGCCATGACCTAACACAACAGCTGGAAGCCGTTGCAGATATCCACGCCTCGCAAACATTCACCCACTCCAAGCATGAACACACTGCGCCGCTCGAATTTGGGGGCTTGTCTCAATCTGTGACAACACCTCGTACCTGTTAGATCTTCGTTGTTGCTCGTCCGGGGCCGTTCCGTCTCTTGCACTCGCACGGCGGTTAGTCGAAACTGCTGAATGGACGCGTCCATGGCTCATGCAAGCGGCGCCCCATCGATTAAAAATATTCCCGAAAGCCATCCTGAAGACATGGAGCTTGTGATCGCATGGCAGAGTTCACGCCCTCGTCATAGCCCGCTGCGCGAACGGTGAGGCTGTGGGTGCCAGACGGGCTTCGCGACGCGACCTGACCCTCAACCCTCGGAACCATGACGGATGCACACGATGCATCCACCAGCGATGGCACGCGCTCGACACCTAGGCATTTCCACAGCCCCCAAAGCCGTCGCTACTGCTAGTGAATTACGTCGGTGTAACACAGTCTCGAGCGCTACCTGGCTACCTAGGTCGTTGATGCGCGGCCCAAGGCATCCTCAACAAAGTGGACATCATCAGAATGTGCCACGCATGAAATAGATGTTTATGCGGTCAGAAGCTTAACTCGAAGCGTATTACTCCTTTCATTCCAGTCAGCCTTATAACGGTTCGAGGTCCAGATATTGACTGGTAGTTACAGGGTTCGCGCGCGCCGTACATCATGGCTGAGTAACGTCAGTTCTCGCTACTCCACCACTACGGACCGATGCTGCCTACGACTTGAGCAAGTTCACCAGGCTTGCTATTACGTTAATTATCCCTGGCAGCGAAGCTTCTCGTGTACAGCGTGTCGGCACGGATTCGGGTTTGCATGGGAAGTAGCATTCCTGCTGCAAGCTGGATCACGAGCCTCGCCTCCGCTGCGGTGCGCCAACGCCGTGCCTTGCATTATCACTGCGACTCAGCCTGCGATAGCTGAGCTTGACCATTTAGCGGCATTTCTGAGATTAAGGTCCGGCGGCAAAACGAGATAATTCTCTGGAGAAGGCAATTCCTTGATCGTCGGCCGCCCCTAATTTAACCGCGTCGGGTTAAAGCTTTCATCGCTTCGCCTCAAGCAGACTGGGCATTCGGTCTACCGATGCAATGTCATTGGTGCACAACGAGGAATGCTCGTGAACAAGTGGGTATTATGACAGTTATGCTGGCCAAAAGCAGATGATTGATGCGATAAAGACACCAACGTGCACGGAATCGCGGCAAATGTCCGTGGTCACCCTACCGCACTCGCTCTAGTAAGCCAGGCAGTACTGCGGCGTTGACAGATTTCCTGCCCTACTTTCGGTTCTCCCCGAGCAAGCCACATCCGCTTCACACGTACGAATGCCTTACGGCACGGAAGGCCTACTCGTTAAGCGCCGTCGTGAGATGGAGGACATGCTCTGCCTACACGATGGATCAACTAAGATGGTGGCGTGGAGCTGGGGGAGTTGGTTTGATATATAGCTCCTTACTGGACTTTTAGTATGAAAGTAACCCATAACGAAGATTCTCCATGTCAGCAGAGCAGTTCTCAAAGCTCTCTCTCGGAGAGGACATGGTTACCACTCGTGCCGGGGCCGCAAGGGCCGCAAGAGCTAGTACACAATCATCGGGGCATTCTGAGGAAGATCAGCCCATACCATCCGTCGAGTCCACCGTTTCCCCTACGCCTTCCCTGGTTATATCAACGAAGAACCTTCATTACAATGTCTCGGCCTTCGACACCGACCTACGAAGGCGGGCCAAAAGAGGACTGGAAGGTAGCGATATCAGGCTCAAGTACTGCGCAGTCTCGGAAGATGATTATAGCCCGAATGGCAGCCCAAAGAAGTTCTTCCATCTTGACGACGACATCATTGTGGCGATGGGTGGGAAGTTACGAAGACCTGAGTGTACGTGTGGCGCAAACGAAAAAGGTCTCGCGTGCAAGGTACGCTCTCGCATACACAACCATTGACGCATCACTAAAAGTAGCCCCAGCACATCTATTGGGTCGGAGACCAGATCATCTCAACTTCTCCAGACGATATGGTCAAGACGCCTCTTCACCTTTCTCCCGATGGCTCGAAGATCGAAGACGTCAAGCCTGCGGAACTACTGGACACCAAAGGCTTAGCCAATATCGCCAACGACCTGAAGTGGGTTTATCGGGATGACAATCTGCCTGAAGACGACGACTTGAAGAAGACAGTCGTTGACATGTTTTCGTGCTACGAGCCACAAGATGCACTTCCTGGAGAGTTTCGACATCCCGAGTCGCCTCTTACTTCCGAACGATCCAAGAAGTACCAGGAGTTGACAGAGCTCTTTACGCAGTACGCAAACTGGTATCCCAGCCTATATCTCCAAATGCGCAAGATCATCGACCCGGACTTCGAAAGCCGTGTCTTCTTCGAAAAGATCGACAAGCGCATTACTTCCACCTTCGACGCTTTGGATGAGTACATAGCCAAGGGACCATACAACCTCTCTCAAGGCCCCCCTCGGTTCGACGTCTCCAGTTGTGCACAGAAGTTGACATCACTAGTCAAAGCCATTGATGACTTCTATCAACGCCATGCTGACGTCGAAGACGTGGCCGTCCGAGCAGCGGCGGCTCTTGTTACGATTCTCGACCGTGTTACGGACCGCGATAAGAATGCATATGAAGGCGTCAAGTGGAGTGTGATGGAGGCCCTATCAGACCCTGTTCAAAGCAACCTATACGTTGCGCTGATTGGAGCAGCATCAGATGACGACCCGCCATTTGTTCTCGCTGCACTCGGGTTCTTGCCCCAAGAAGACGTATACCGTAACCACTGGGCAATGCTACAAGACATCGAACGCAAGCTAACAGATTCTCATGCGCCCACTCATTACATGGCTCTCTTCCGCGATGTCGTCTACGAGAATCGCAAGAGGTCGGGTTCGGAGGTACACGAACGAGAATCGAAGCGAGCAATGCAGTAATGTCGATCTGCAAGCAGACTACCTCGTGCTCGACACAACAGTTGAGTTGGTATGTAGTCGTCCCACTTTTCCTTTTGGTCTGGCGTTGGCGGCTTTTTGCACTTTTTCCATTCCTTTCTCTGTGACTTTTTGCACCTTTTAATACCTTCATGTCTTTCCTTACGACGTTACGGCTTTCCGCACGCTAGTTGAATTCTTCATTTGGATACTCAAGGTCGCCGGACTTCGGTCTGTATTCGCTGGCCTTTGTTATGTTGCTTTCTGTCTTTCCTTCAGGCCACCCGATTTCGGTTTTTGGGTAACCGAATGATTCTATATATCTCCGATTCTTTCCTTTGCCTTTTCTTTGACCGGTTGCTTGCGGAGCTTTTGATGTTGCCGTACTTTTAGCCGGGTACAATTGGTGTACCACTTTCTCTTCTCTACACTCCTTGTATCCATAATTTACACAAACACATTTATACAGCGGTCCATCGTTGGCGCCGTACGCTGCAAATCCATCATCGTCCGCATAGTGCGAAATAGAACGAGCTCACTGAAATTGAAAGGTCAATGCGTGATTGGTTTTAGCATAGTAAACACAAAAGCGGTGGAGTGCGCCCCCTAGACTGCAGGCCTCAGCTGATACCGGCTCCGCATGCATACAGTGCCAAGCTCCGATATGTAGAAAGATTCCGCGGAATTGGGAGCGTGGCCGACGGCTGACTGACTCAAGACGAGACCGGACCGAACGAAGTGGATCTGGCGCAGTTCGTAGCTGAGCTTCGCATGCTGTAGGCTCTCGCGCTTGGTCAAGCGCCAGAGACAGACTGTCCCCATGCACCATGAGATCCATGTATCTATAACACTAAGTACTAGACCAAGCTTCATCTCGGTGTGGATGTCGGGAGTCTGCTTCTTGTCGCATACAAGACAACAGGTCGGCACCGGAGGTCCACAGCAGCCAATCATGCATGGCCCAGTTACATGTCGTACAACGACTCTGTCATCTATACGTGTAATTGGCCGCTTATCCAAACGCTAAGTTCGTGGAACCCATCTGGCCTACACACGATGTGGCCCAAGTGGGTGTCGTTCATGTTGCGTGCATTTGGGCTTCGAGATGGTGGGTGTTGCTCCGGTGTGGGAATCAAGAAATCCACAAACTAGCGACAAACCTTCCCCTTCTGCTCGCGCTCACTGGAATGGCGCATATGACGCTTACTGTATATTCCCCGCAGTATGCGACGTCTTATGGAGGCTGCTTTTGTCAGAAGTTCCGCAGGCTCCGCACAACCTGGACCTGCATCCAGGACCCGGCACCCCACAGAAGGCGGTTGCATGTAGCAGACACCCGCTCCGGGAAGATTCCGAACAGATGCGGACATGATGTAGGCGCCGTCGGTTCGATCTGTGCAGAGCAAGTGCCATGACTATGTACACATAGACTCAAACATGTGAAGCACCCAGGTGGCGAGATAGCTCATACCAAGCTCATGCTA